AAATTGCAATTTATATTTTAATCGTTAACTGTTACTCATGAAATAGTCTTGTCAAATACCATTCGGGCATCTAATTTTTCCTGTGAAAAAAATCGAAAAAACACAATGCTAAGTAATATTTTTTAACAAAATGCATTCGTGCAGGTGCAAAAATCCTCCTCTTCGACTCGGATTTTTGTTGCCACCAGCACTCATGCTTTTTGTTAAAATATTACTTAGCAACGTGTTTTTTCGATTCTTTTCGAAAAAATTAAATGCCCTTATGATATTACTTACGACTATTTCCCTCGTCTTAATTTCCACCAATCACAAACGCGCAATTTTGAACTACAAATGGTTTCTAGGTGGAAAAACTGTATGACAGCACCTGTCAGCAGTTTTTTCTAGTTTACCCGCGGCAAAACTGCCGTCCTAAGCGCAGAAGCGGTAACTGCACATTTAAAGGAAATTGACATTTTTCCGTAATATGAACCTAGGGTTAAAAATCTCTACTTTAATAAGGTATTAAATCGGTATTTTGTCAGTAAATGATTGAAATATCAAGTTATTTTTAGCGGTGTCTGTTACCAAACTGAGTTGGCAGAGCTATTAACATAAAAGTACCAATATCTCATGACAGCCATTATGTTAATTACCGCTTCTGCGCTTAGTACGGCAGAAAACATGACAGCTGTTGTCACCAAAAATTGCAATTTATACTTTAATTGTTAACTGTTACTCATGAAATAGTCTTGTCAAATACCATTCGGACATCTAACTTTTCCTATGAAAAAAATCGTTAAAACACAATGCTAAGTAATATTTTTTAACAAAATGCATTCGTGCAGGTGCAAAAATCCTCGTCTTCGACTCGGATTTTTGTTGCCACCAGCACTCATGCTTCTTGTTAAAATATTACTTAGTGTTTTTTCGATTTTTTTCGAAAAAATAGATGCTTACTTGTTTGTTTGGTAATTTAAAAAATATTTTTTATACTTAATTTAAGCGGTTTTTTTACATTTTCAATTACATATTGCCAGTTTGTCGCAAAATATATATTTTTTAAATTTTACGGCTTAAAATTCAAATATTTACTTAATGTATTATATTTAAATATAAAAGGGGCGCAACAACGAATTCTGCACGCAGGCGCCAGACACCCCAGGAACGGGCCTGGTGGTTAGATTCTATTTCATGTACGACCGATTCAGTTGATGGTAAGAGAAAATAATATGGATACAGAACCTGAAAAAAGAGGGCTCGCTCCTCAAATTTTTCGGAAAATAAAAAAATCATTTAATTAATTTTGTGGATACAACGTAGAGACAGATAGAGCTACAATTAGAGCAGGAAATTAACAATAAAAAGGATTAAAAAAAAAAAGAAAAACTTAATATATTATAATAATAAACAAGAAGTGACTATTTATTTTATTTTAATTTTAAATAAGTATAAATTAAATAGTGATATAGGGAATTTGACTAAAAAATGGAAAATATTGGTGCACCAATATTTTCAATTTTTTAGTCAAATTCCCTATATCAATAGTTAAATTTTAAACCATAGTGAAAAAATCAAGGTGCAAGATTTTGGACACTAATCTTCTGTTACCTTTTAACTTGGCAGTTTATTTAACTGATCAGTTAGGGAAAACGGTGCAAGTGGACATTATAATTTTTATTTAATTTCAGTATTCAAAAATCTACAAATTGATGACATTCCCGATTTGTTGTTGCAAAGTGTCAATTTGACAACATTGACATTTGTCTTTATTTTTAATTAATAAACAGATTAAAAATGAAATAAAAATGATAAAAAATACCTACCTACTTGTATGTATAAATCCAATAGCTATGAACTATCGTAGTGTGAATTTACCTTAATTGTATAGTTATCACTATCAGTGTTTTGGTTTTAGGTTAAGTTTTCTGAAATTATATTTAGTTTGTGGCACCTCCACCATACCCTAGAAATATTTTTGCCTTTTTTCATTGGAGATTTTTTTTAAACTTAATTTTTTTAAAATTTTTTGAAATTTTGTTCATTTTATAAATTTTGAAATTTTAAAAATTTTGATAATTTTGTAAATTTAGTAAATTTTAAAAATTTCGAAAATGCTAAAAAATAATTTTAAATGCGCTAATTCGTCCTACCATTTTTTAAATTTATGCCACTGTGCGAATTTGTGCTACCATTTTTTAAATTTATGCCAGTTTTAAACTTTAATAAATCAAAAAACTTTTTAAAACTTTCAAATTTATAAAATTTTCATATTTTTAAAACTTAAAATTAACATTTCCAAAATCTTTAATATTTTTAAAATGTTTAAGATAAACAAAATTTCCAGGATTCAATTTTTTTTAAAATACCCATTTTAGAAATTTTTGAAATTTTTAACTTAAAATTAACAAAATGTTTAAGTATTAAAACTTAATTAACAAAATTTCCAAATACATATAACAATAAACAATATTTTTAAAATTAATTAACAAAATTTCCAGGCTTCAAAATTTTCTAAATATTTCAAAAATTAGCAGAATTGAAAAAAGTTCAATAGTACTTAAAACCGTTTAAAACCAATCTTCGATATCACGCGGTACAACAAAATAAATGACAATCTCTGCAACTTCATGCTCTCCTGATACTTAAAAAGCGCTATCTATTTCCTGTGACACGCAAATAGTAAAAACGGAAAATCCGCTAATTTTAGAATCGTCGAAATGTATAATGTAAATAAATTTAGGTACCTATTTTTTTAAACCATTTTTTTCTTTTACCCCGTTTTATGAAACAATTATAGTTATAGGTATTGTCACGTACAAAGAGAAAGTAAAATCATATCATAAACACAATAATCTGCAAGTGAAAGCTATTTTATTATAGTTCCCAGTTAAATAATAATTGCATCTAACATTATGTCACATTTTGTAATAACAACTGAAGATCTAAGTAAAAGCAACATTTAAAACTTAAGTAGAAGAACGAGGGTAACTTTTAATGGAAATACTAATGGACAACAGTAAAATTTCCTTTCTACCCCTAATAATCCATAACTAACGGCCCTTTTTACACGATATTTGGGGTAAATTTTTGAGCAATTAAGTTCTATTCAGGTACCTACCTATAAGCATTTTCTTAGTAATTTTATATTCACCCTTACTTTATTATTATATTAGTTGGGTAGTATGGTGTAGAAATAATGGGTATTTAATAAAGGGCGAAATATAAAAATCTATATATGTAAAGTTTACTAACTAAGTATTCACATTTATAAGACTTAAATAAAAACATTTTGTTAAGGTTAATCAAGCAATGTGGTATTTCCTTTGAATTAATTTTTAACCGGCGCCAATTTTAGTCATGCTAAAAATAAAATGGCAACACGGTTACGTTATTAACTACCATGTGTGTAGCATAAATTCTTTAAATTATTTGAACAATTTGTCATTTTTAAATAGTAAATAAAATTTATTCTGGAATTTTTAATAACAAATAATATTTAATATCAACCATTTCGTTTGCCTGAAAGGAAGGTAGTTCAAAAATAAAAAGTTTAATTTGTTAAAATAAAACAGGTATGATTAAACGATTTCTTTGACACGACTTTCAGAAAATAAATCTGTAAACCATGTAAAACTTCAGATAACTGCTAGATGCCATAAAACCCTTCTTAGATTGCCGAATTTTTAAACATTAATCCTTAATAATCGACTTGATTTAACTGACATAAAACAGAACTAGTGTGGTAGGTATAACAAAAAATAATTATTAAAATTTAATTCATTTCTTAACCTGTTATCCGGTCTATAATTATTACCTACCTATAGGTATCAGTTAAAAACTGCATTCAAACTAATTGTAGCAATTTTCTTAAAATTATAGTTAATAAAATTAATAATTACTTTGCATTTGCCACCTTATCTCTAACAACCATGGGAAAATCAAAAGAAAATATCTCTCCCTATCTTTGCACAACTCCTTATATAATAAGTATTCAAGCTAAAATAATTTCCTAATAAAATTACCCACTAAACTTTAGTATCTCTATCTCTTCCCCTCATAATCTCCCTCTTGACTAAACACTTTCGCATCTTAAAAGAAAATAATAAAACATTTCCCCCTCTTGTCAACAGCGTGACAGGTTTACGCGTATTTCCACATTTTCCTACCCCAATTTTTCCCAACATGTTTTGCCCGGTTTCGTTTATTTCTTCATTAGAATAGGACCCCTAAATTTAGGGGAAACCGGGATCAATAGTAGGTATCCACATACGCACTAACCTAACCTAACTTGCAAGTTGCAACCAACTCCTATTTGATTAAACAATTGGTTTGTGAGAATGATACATTTAATTTATTTATTACATTTCTACAAACTACTATAAATGAGTCATGTTTGAAGGCAACTGGGTCATTTACATTTAGTATGTAACACTACACGTTCATTATAATATTAAAAAAACTGTTTTAAATTCATAAACAACGTTTTTTAATATTTAAATCTTCTCCAATCACCGCTGCACCTTTTTTAAAATCGTCATCAAAGCAATCCTTGAGGTCGTCATGGTAATGAACAAAAGAACACGATGTGCCAGATAGGCCTCCTTTGTTTTTCGAAAAAAACAATAAGAGAGCATGGGAATAATGGGCCCTTTAATGTTTACAAACGCTTTTGTTTGCATTTTTTTAAGTGGCTAATAAACGTGTTTTTCACGGGATGTAGAAATCATTTTTACAGGGGGTTTTGTTAATGAATAGGGACAATTTTATAATACAACAGGTAGATTTGTGAAAACCGGTTTCTGTCAAAAAATTAATACAGCCCTTGCAATGGTATTTAAAGCGTTGAGTTAATTTATAGTTTGCAATAATGATTTGTTGAATTAAAATGTTGCTGCAGGCTTATCAAACATTGATAAAACTTCCGCTAGTCAAATCAACTTGGCTTCGAACAAAACACACACAAAACATTTGATAAATGTCACAATGTCAACATGGGGGTTAAAAAAATCTTCACCGACCTGCAATGACAGTATCACTTAAGTTGTACTTTTCGTTGGCTTTCGGGAAATCCTTTAACTTTCTGTTGCTCAACTTCAATTCACCACTTTGATTCGCTTCTTCTAAGATGCGTTCTAAAGATCTGGTCAACTGGTTTTGTATGTGTCCATTTACATGAGTAACTAGCACCGTTGCCATCATGCATGGCAGACACTCGTACGCTCGCTCACTGACTAATCGGTTGAATTTTCTTGCGGCACAAACTGGGCGGATAAGCGGCGTTGCCAGAGCTAGTACAATTGCACAAATCTAGTACTTTTGCAGTCATCTGTATACAAGTAGTTTCAGAATTTAATATTGAATTCACAATCCACACATGTGGATTGTGATTGAATTTAATGTGTGTTATTTTTAAATGTAAGTTGGACATTCCTCAATATTGTTTTAGCCTTAGTCAAGGAAGATTGTGGATGCCTATTCCAATTAATTTAGAATTCTAAACAAGCGTAGTGAATTGTGACTAAAAAAATTAAATTAGGTACTAAAGATTTGATTCTGTTTGCACAAAATAGTATTAAATAGGTAGGTACACGTGTACATTTCTGATTACCGTAATCATTACGCCTCCACCTTCTTCCCTACTCTAGCAAATTTTAGATTTGTGTTCGACTTAAAATTGGAGTTTTTTTAAATGGTCAACATTAGTACCTAAATTGTGTTTATTTTTCTTAAATAAGTTAACAAATTTGACATGGTTTTACTATTCTAAAATCCGTTAAAACATTAAAAATGTAAACAATACCTAATTTACATTTTTAATGTTTTAAAATCGGTTTTTGAGTTTCTAAAATGCATTTTAAAATTTTTAAATTTCACAATTTTATGGTTTATTGGCCTAATTGTGTTTTGACATTTTAAAGAAACTTTTTAAACTTTGTAAACCAAATTTTACTTGACATAATATAAAAATATCCAACCATGGTAGGTATGAATCAATATTCAAGTACCTACACTAAAGAATTCTTAAGTAGGTAGGTATCTAATTATAAAGTTTTAAGTTAATATATATTAAATATTTAAACCATAAATAATTTGACAATCTAAAATATGATTTTGACATTATAAAATTCCAGTTTTCGTTGAAAAAAATTATTATTTAATGTTTTAATGGTTTTCAGATACCTAAATATCTATTTTTTTAAATCTCAAATAGGATGTAGGATATTTTTTCCAAAAACCTGGCAACACTGGGGAGGGCGCCACCGAACATAAACAAATCCGCCTTGCTTATGTTCTGTCTTGCTTTCCTACTTGCCCATAGATGGCGATCGATGGCATATCGATAAAGTAGGGGTCACTTATGACGTTTGTTTACTTAAGTTATATGTTTTTAAAATTTAAACTACCTGTCATATTTGGTTTAGGATATTTCTTAGGTTAGGTATATTCGGTAGTATTATGAAAGGAAAAACCATGATTTTAGTTGTTAGTTTAAGTTTGTTTTCTTATGAATACTGTGAATAAATAGTGATAGTGAATAATTTTAAATATGGCTAGTGGTATAAGAAAATGCGTTGTTCCTTACTGCAAAAATGTGCAAGATAAACGGCATTATTTTCCAAATAAGGAATCTCAACTAGACATTTTCAACATGTGGGTAAAAAATATAAACAATCCAAAATTAAACCAAATGAGTAGAGAGGACATACTTAAAAAACGTTATGTAGTGTGTCATATTCATTTTGAAAAAGGAGTGTGTGATGACTACCGAAGAAGTCTACCTGTAGATGCTGTGCCAACTTTAAATCTACCAGGTAAGCTTGTTTTTTTCTTTTTAAAACGTTCTTAATTTTAAATTTGTTCTGCGGGAGGCAGTCCCTCTACTGTTAAAGCAAAATCCAGGTGGCACTGTGATTGAGGGATATATAAACCCCAATTAAGACCTTTATATTGAACAAATACATAATACAATATATTATATTGTTCATAAAAAATTTTAGTATATTGAACATAATACAATATAGGTATTATATTTTTTATTTTTAAGACAAAATTTGCTTGACACTGACAGAAATATAACCCCAATTATTTGAATCAGTCACATGGTGGGACCTTAGAGAAAGTAAATACTTTCTCTATAGTGTGGACCATAGTATAGCAACTTTAAATGCTTGACAAAGGTTTTTTTACAGTTTTTGTCAGAAAATCCAAACTTTAAATCCTCATAGCCTTGTTGTTATTATTAACAAATTTTAACTTATTATTTTTGAAAATTGTGCTTAATCTTTGTAGTTTCTAGTTTTATTCAAATATATTTTAAGATTTAATATCTATGTATTAATTATTCATAAATGTTTTTTTAGTTCCCTTGGGGGACCTTAAAGTGGAGAGAGACATCATTCCTAGTAAAATAGGGAAACTAATGGAAGGTAAATAATATAATTGAATATAAAACAATATAATATAATAATAATAATATGCAAAACCTGACAATTTCATTTATTTTTCATATTTTCAACTATCCAACTATTTTAAAAAGACTTTCTTATACTTGTTACTTCAATGTGGTGTTATTTTTTTAATAGTTGCTGGTATGAAAGAAAAAGTGATGAAATTAATGAAGCTTCAAGATGTTTGTTGTGTGATGGGGTGTAAAATTCAAAACAAAAGGAAAAGGTTCTCATTATTTCGCTTTCCTAAAGATATTAAAAGGTATGTTTTTACAGTGACAATAACAAACAATTTATTTAAGCATTATTTTTATTTAGAGCTGAATTGTGGCATAAAGCATGCAATCTTGACAGATTTGGGGAGATGAAAGTAGAAGATCTGTATAAAACTGAATACAGAGTGTGTGATGATCATTTCCATGAAAATATGTTTTTAAATAAAGAAAAGAATCGTTTACAGAGTGATGCAGTTCCTACTGAAAATTTGTCTAATGGGTCTGTTGATATTAAAAATTTTGTAGAAGAAATAACTGTTGAAGAAGCTCAGTTACAAAGTTTTGAAGAGCCTGTAAGTGTTGTTTTATTTTTTCCAAATTGTTGAGAAAACTGAATTTCTGATGAAATAATTTTAGGTTGGCCAAAAAGATCCACTTGCATTAGTTGTACCTTCAAAAACACCTACAACTGCTGCTATGCCAGTAAGTAATTTTTTATCAATTTTATGTTAAGTTTTTTTTATATTATATTTTATGGAGCCCCATACTTCTACTTCGTGTTTTTGTGGTGGCAAATTGGCAAAAATCTCAATAGTTTTCATTATAGTATACAAAAATAATCTAAACATTATTTTAGGAAGTAAAATTGGTAAAAACAGGGCAAAATACAACAATTTTAGGAAACAAAATACTTACACCAATTAAATTTAAACCAAATACATCAAAAATAATTAATTTAATACCTATAATGGGACAACCAAACGCAAAACTAATAAATATTATACCAAATGCTGCATTGGTAAATAATATTACACCAGTTCAAGTTAATAAACAAAAAAATGTTATGAATGTTATCCAAGCTAAAAATACAGTGAATGTAGCAAGTACATCAAACAATATTATTAGGCTTGTTGAAGTAAATAAACCCAGTACATCCAATGCAAATATTATGCCATTGGAAGCCAATAATCCAAGCTCATCAAAAGCAACCAATCCTGTACCAATTAAAATAAAAACCAATGTAAGTAAAACTTATATGAGTAAATGTCTTCAATATTTGTAACTTTTACTTTATAAGTTATGAATAAAAAATAAAAACCAACTAAAAAAAGTTTGAAGTTTAGATATTAGTCTACTATCTAAAAAAGGTTCTTTTTAAAGTTAATAATTATTTCTTTTACATATATTTTAAGGCCATGTTTCTCCAGAAACCTTTTAATTTAATTTTAATCATATACATTAGCGTGTTTTTAAAAAGCGAAGAGGTATCTTTATTGATTTAAAATAAAAATTTCTTAAAATATGCTGATAATAATATTTTATAAAAATACAAACTGCAGTAGGTACTGTTTTTTTCTAAAAAAAATTTAGCTTTTCAATGAAAATATTCAGTCTTTATTATAATTAAGGAAAGAACCTCAAAAATTCAAGTAAAGTGAAAAATGTTTTTTCTTACTACTTCGGCCGAAAATACGTTGTTTCGTCCAGGATTCCACGGCAGAAAGTTTACGTTTGATGCATTGGTCAAGCTATACGTATTTTCGGCCGAGGTAGTAAGAAAATGTAATTTTTTATCCTTCTACAAAATAAAAAATATACAAATATATCGATATATGGTCGAGCTATACGCACGCCCTCTATAATATCGCTCGTGCCGCAAATGTCGGGGCAGGCATCAATATGTTCCGATATACACATTTAATTTTTTCCCGTATTTTCGGCCGGGTAGCAAGAAAAATAGTATACACTACACGGGCAGAAAGTGTGAGAGCCCAGAACTGCGCGCCATGATGCATCATGCATCATGGCGCGCAGTGCAGGAATCTCACACTTTCTGCCCTTGTAGTGTAATATACTATTTTTGCCTTTCAGCAATTTTTATTTCATTTTTTTTTTCTGAAAGCTGAGTTGTGTCATTTTCACAATGGGGTTATTTTTTGTTTCAAAACAATTAAATAATAAATTGTAACTAATTTTCTTTTAAATAATTGAGGTTATGCATCTGCCAATTTAACGCCAATTTTGTTTTATTTGCTGAAAATAATATAAAAGGTATAAATACGTATTATACCTACGTATTTTTGTGCAAAGACGAAATTGGTGTTAAACTGATAGATACATAACCTCAATTAGTTTGAAAAATTACTTAACATTTAAAAATTATATGCTTTTAGAAATAAAAATTTCCGCAAGACCAGAAAAATCGCATTTTTCACTTTTATTAAATTTTTGAAGGTTTTTTGTTACTTATAATTAATATTGAATATTTTCTTAGAAAAGCTAAGAAATTTTTACAAAAAAAAACAGTACTGTTTGGGAAAATAATGTTTTATAAAAATAAAACATTATTTAAATCCAAAATAATAAACGAAAAAGTTAAAAAAATGCAAAAATTTGAAAAAACATGTGCTCAAATCTTTAGTGAGACATTATTTTGATGCAGAGAATAAATTCACAAAATTATAAAAAAAGTCGCAGGGTCACCAAAAAAAAAAAATTGGTGGAATGACCCATATACATAAAATTATTAAAAACATACCATGGGAACACATTTGGAGACTAAAATTTTTCTACATTAAAAAAAAACTTATTTTAGACA